ACACACACACACACACAGACACACACACAGACACACACACACACACACACACACACACACACACACACGGGAGGGGGTGGGGGGTGGGAGATAGGGTTGGAGGCAGGATGGTCAGGATTCAAGGCCAGCCTGGGCTACATAGAATCCTGTTAGAATTAAGTTAATTCTTTGTGCTTATTGTTAACTGATTCATTAAAAACTCAAAGTATATGGTCACCCTTCTTGACATTAGGAAGGTTGGTAAGAATAGATGGGTATAAAGTACCAAATGTTCCTTAGATGATGTATAAAGAAGAGTTTTTTATTAAAAAGGCATGTTCTGTTGTCTTTACAAAGCTTTGGAGGTGTGAGGGCACAAATGGGAACTTTAGAAATATTCAAAATCCCAAATAATCCTCAGTGGATGCAGATGCTGTTTTAAGCTGAGAAGTTACTCCACGAACTCTTTCTGTACTTATCCAGACTCCATTTATTACCACGAGGAAGCTTCCACCAGTGCAAGAAGAAAGATATACAGGGCTGCATAGCTGAGTACATACTGTAGAAGGGCAGTACTGTGCATTTCAACAAAACTGTTGTGTATGAAATGCTTTATGAGTACTGGGTGTGGTGATAATACATCACTCTGGAGATAGACAGGTGGATCTGTCAGTCCAGTTTCAGCTTATTGTACATAGCTAGTTTCAGGCCAGCCAGAACTATGTAATAAGTCCCCAGACAACACCAAAATGTCTTATGTGTAGCCAAGAAGAGGAAAAAAATGTAGTAGTAATTGGTTGAGCCACAGTGTTCACGTTTTTTTTTGTTTTGTTTTGTTTGTTTGTTTGTTTTTAAGCCAGGCTAATAGTGTATATACTTGGTCAAGATTTTATATCCTTTTTTTTTTTTTTTTTTTTTTTTTTTTTTTTTTTAAAAAGGCAAAGTAAACCAGGAATGATGTCACACACCTGTAGTCCCAGTACTTGGCAGCAGCAGAAGCAGAGGGATGAGGAGTTTGAGTTTGAGGTACCCCCTTGACTATGTAGTGTACTGTGTGTGCTGAGCCATAGCACAGGCTATCATCTAAGGAGGAGAGTTTAGTTTGTCAGACTTGTTAAAATCCTTCTTAAATTTCCTAATTGGATATATTTTTAGTTGGAAGCTACTCTGATGACCATATTTTTATGCTTGTGCCAGTGATTAAGGGCAGTGCATTTCAATGTTTTATTCACTGTACTCAGAAGTTACCTCACTGTTTTAGGACTGAAGTTTGATATTATGGCTAACTGTAGAATTTAGGATGGTTAATTGTATTTCATATGTGCCTAGATGGAAACAGTCTACAGTTACTCCCCCAGAACTAATGTGCGTAACTGAAGTCAGCAGTACATTTTCGAGATGGGGAGGAGTGTCAGTCATGAGAGATTTGGGGTTAGTCACTTTAACAAAGTTTTACGTGGGCCCCCACAATATTTGTACAAATGAGTCAGTTTTTGAGCTAAGGTACCAGTGAATGCTCAAGTATATATTGACGTATGTGTGGTGCTCCTACTGTGTTGCAGGTGCTGCTCAGTGCTGGTCACACTGAAGCCAGCAAGCTGCTCCCCTGGCAGATTCACAGTGACTGCTCAGTTTATGTAAAGAATTGATGTCATAGGACAGTAAATTTGGATTAGATATTTAATAATTCTAAGCCTCTCTAACCAAGTACATTCAAACTTAAAAGACAACCAGGCAAGAAGAATTCAAAAGTACTACTGCCCCAGGCTGGCTAAAAAATGAGGTGTGATTGGGGGTATGCTTAGGCAGGGGTGGTCACAGCGGGCTTTTTATGCTAGACTCATTGTTTAAATTTCATCTTAAATGTAATGGAAAGACCATTTAAAGGTTAGACTTTGGTTTTTAGTGATGGTTCTTCTGTGGAGAAGAGAGCAATGGATGGAAGCAGTTATTCCATTTGCTGTCAGAAAGATCCTGTTGTGGACAAGGAGATGCTGAGGTTGAGAAATTAACA